ATCTAGATTCTAAATATATGTTAGGAATCCAGTTTGTGTGGGATGTGTTTTTGTGTTTTCCCCCTCCACCACCAGGTGGCGCCCGGTTCTCGTTGGCTCTTCCCCTCACCTGCGGATGGTTGCCTCATTATCTGAGCACTCTTAAGCTGCTGACTGCCACTACCTCAACGCCAGTGTTTGCCAGTTTTAGGTACTCTAGCCAAGCTGTGTTTGCTGAGTCAAACTGAGTTTTTTGTCTCCCTGAGTCCTAACCTTGTTGTTTTTTTGTCTTTGCCTTTTCGGCAGGAAGTCTTCCTGCAAACTGGGTGTTTTGGCCTTCTCCCCCTGGAAGGATTGTTTGAGCTTCACACTGAGCAGTAGATGCAAACTGGATGTTTGGACCTTTCTACCCCCGAAAGGATTGTTTGAGCCTCACACTGAGCAGGGGATAAATCTCCACACGTACCGTTCAAGTACTTTAGGAAATCTAAGTGGCAGTCAGCTCCACCGCTCGTCAAGGAACCAACCAAACCTGAGTAAACCCTGTCCGCCCTCCAACGAATCAACCAAATTCTGGAATAACTCACACTGACTGGATTCTGGGAAGGACACCTTTTCTGGAAACGTGAGTCCCGTTTCAGTTTTTGTGTTTGCAAGTCGACGCTCAATTCTCCCACTGAGCCTGGACTAAACTCTGAACTTCCCTTCTCACTTCCAGTTCCAGTTCACCAGCGTTCAGAGTAACACTGGATCCAACTCATCGTGTTTTCAATAAAATCTGTAAAAACTTTCACTGGTTATCTGAGTGGTTTCCTGCTTGGGGGTCAGATCCCTGAAAAAGATCATGACAATATATACACGTGAAATTGGGTGAGTAAAACACAGACCAAGCTGCTTTAGTTCAAGCATGACTCAAAGTTTATTTTTTTTATACTCCAAAATAATAGGTATTTTTTGAACAGCAGTTATAAAGACATGCTTGCTTGTTGTGGCTGCTTTGTCATGCTACATTTTGACATGCTGCTATATCTGTGTTAATTGTGCTTTGGTGCTTGTTATGTCCATAAAATGAAATGGGTGGTTGAATTGTGAAGAAATTAAGCTTTCCAACAATGTCTAACATTTCTATATTGGTAAACATTTTACAAGTGTAATTTTTATGCGTTCTGAGTTATTAATTGTAAACACTTTAAAACGGGTCGCGGGCGACCTGGTGGGTTTTGAGAGGCTAGACCTGTAACTCAGGCTCAGACTGTGAATGATTTTCAGCCATAGCCTTTTTCCATCTACAACGACCCCCCTCCCCCCAAAAAAGAAAATATTTGCACATTCAAGCACGTGTGTCTCAAATGTGAATGAAACAAAATACAAACACACATTGTGGATTAACCGATCTATCTACAAGCATCACATGACAGTGCCACTCAGCACATCAGCAGGGTTGCCAGATGTCAATGACTCATTTTTTCCCGCTGAAAAAGTGTTCTAATCATTTTTATCTATACATTTAGAAACTACTGATTCATTAAACTCCGGTCTAAAATGAGAACTCACTTGGCCTTGGTCTTATAAAGTTAATAGACATTCTAGCACCTTAAAACATTCTGACTGAAAACCTTTTCTTCTGCTGTTGCTCCTCTATTAACTGACCCTCTGAATAAAAGAAAATCCACAGAGAATTTTTAAATTTTACAATGCTGGATGCCTGTAGACAGGAATTTAATACATTAACTAAAAATCTCGATTTATTCTTTATATTTAGCTGAATAAATTATTATTTTGTATGTTTTTCCACATTTACAGGTGGTGAGAGCTTCAACACTGGAAAAAATCAAAATCTTGTTAGGTCATTTCTTCTTAAAATAAATGCATTTGTTCTTGGATTGAGGAGGTAAAAGAGACATTTTGCCAATGGAACAAAACAATTTACATTTAAAATAAGAAAACACAATTGCATTGCAAGATTGTTTGTCCTGTCTGTCTCTGTGTTGCCCTGTGATGGACAGGAGACCTGTCCAGGGTGGACCCCGCCTCTCACCCATAGACAGCTGGAGATAAGCACCAGCACCCCTCATGACCCCAGCATGGATGGATGGAAAAGCTTCCTTCTATGTTTTCTCATCCACAAAAATCATCAGAAAGAGTCAGAGAAAAAGCAGCCGGTTCCATCCGCTGCAGTTACCTTCGATACGCTGGCTGAGGTCTGTGAGATTATTGCTGAGCTGCTCAGCCAAGGTCAACGTCTCCATGGACTCTGTGTCCAGCTGATTCCCTAATCTCTTCACCAGGTTTCCCTAAAGACAAAGAGAAATCCACAGCAGGTTCTGTAAATGCCTATTAGTATAAATCATGTCTTAAACACATTTTTCCTTTTGCTGCTTGCAAAACTGTATGCAGATTTTTTGAATATCCACGGTGACTTTATAACCTACCAAAAATGAGCCAAAGCTGCACTTGCTGGATGAATTTCTGTATATATATTTATTCACAATCTATGTTCATATAAAATAGCTACATCCAATATACAATGGTGTTTTTTTTTGTTTTGGAACCTAAAAAAACAAACAAAAAAAGAACAAACCCACCCCACCTACTCTGTGAATTCAATTTCCTTTGATAAAAAACTTTGCATCAATCTGACTGTATGATCTGGTGAACTGTAAAGTGCCTTGAGATGGCGTGTTGTGAATTGGCGCTATAGAAATAAACTGAATTAAATTGAATAAAACAATTAAAGCAAATATTAACATCCATTCTTGAACACCTTTTCAAGGACACTGTACAAGATGATTTAAATCATCGAAGCGTAGGAAACAATAGAAACAATAGCACTGAACCATGTGAAGTGATGAACGTTAGTTTGTGGGCGGGAACTGAGTTATAGAAGTCGAGATTGGAGGTGACTGGGCCATGAATAAAGTCAGTGGGACCAGGGGTGTATTTAGGAAATTTGGGGCCCTAGGCAAAAACAGGCAGGATGCCCTCTGAATTGAGAAGACAACACATAAAAAAACAGACCCATTCTACAGATAGAGAAATGTTAATAGAATAGACATCCATTATCTGTTCTAGGTTGTGTCCCTCTCTTCTTGTCCCTTTTCTTCTTGTTTTCATCTCTATGTTTTGTACTCAGCTGACTTTTCATGCTGTCTCTAAAGGAATGAAAGATTTTTTCCAAGCACTAAGCTCACTTAGCTGATTGCTCCTTCCTGTGTTTCCAAAAAGGCCAAAGTAAATAACCCAGTCCTTCTTTTCACTGTAGACAAGCCATGATCTGCTTCTCTGTTCTCCATTTTTCTTTTGGATGAAATAATAGCTGCATGAATCATGACAGCAGACAAGATAGAGGAGAGCAGGAGGCGGGGTTACCAATCTACTTGCTCTGGAGAGCAGAGTTCGCTGCTTTTAGATGTTGGCACAAAACATCATTTTAGCGAAACATAGTTAATGTGCACAAATAAGTAATAGCTGCATTAATCATACATGTAAAATGAGTTTTATGGGGCCCCCAGAAACTTAGGGCCCTATGCAACTGCCTAGTTTTGTCTAATGGTAAATCCGCTCCTGAGCGGGAAAAAGGTGGATAAAAAACACTGGATAATGTGATTTATCTGGGGCTGGAATGAGAGGGTGCTGTAGAAGATGGCTTCCTGAATTTTTAGGAGGAGCTGGCATTGATACCATCTGAGCAAAGTTCTGGTTTATATGAGCTGAGCTTCAGAAGGTTTGTTGCCAACCAGGAGTTGATAAACAGAGGAGCAGGAGGAGAAATGGGAGGAGGCTCATGTGCAAATGTGATTACAGGACAGGAAGAGCGGAGTGTCATCCAGGTAGCAGTGGAACGAGATATTATAGTGACAGACCGAACTGAGAGGAAAAAGATTAATATTAAAAGGAAGAAGCTCCAGGATGGAACCATGGGGCACACCAGAAATAGATTGGAAACCAAAAGTTTTTATTTGGAGGAACTGAGTGTGACTTAAATTATATGAAGGAAACCAGCAGAGGGGGATATCTGTTATCTGGGGGATATTTATTAGGTCTTCACTGACCTGGTCTCTGAGGTCTTTCATGTCCAAAAGCACGTTGTCTGCAGCCTCATCCAGCTCTTCAGTCCGTCGTCTTATCACAGATGACTTGTTTCTCCAGACATGAAAGTGCCTCTGAAAGAAGAACAGTCAAGCTTTTTTATTCCAACACATTCCAGAGAGTCAAAAACTGGGAAAAGTCAATGCAGAGCAAAGAACACTTGGAAGGAATATTGAAACATATCTCTCTGAATGCCATGATGTTTGCTGAACTCTGGGGGATTATTCCCCGAAACAGCATTAAAATCCTTCTACATCCTTCATTACACTTTATCAAATCACTGATTGCTGTCAGATGCCAACTAAATAAATCAAACTGGGATTATTTGAGTGTAAATCTAACTCTTCTGTTAAGACCTCAGAGGTTTCTGAGAATTAGAGAACAGTCGGCGTCATGAAGACCAAGGAAGACAATAAATCAGGGAGCAGAACTTTATCATGTGCTCACCTTAAACTGCTCAGGTGCACTGAGATCTGTGTTTTCTTAGGTTATAAATAAACACTAAGATTATAACATGTAAACATGTGTAAAGCCAGAATAGATGCATCAAAAATGTTGCTTTAAACATTCCTCCAATGCTCAGTTCTTTAGCTGAACACTAATTTGGCACTGAAACTTATGTTGTCATTGTTGAACACTGAATATATATACATGAAGCATGCTAAATTATTCATTTAAACACCATGTTTCTGCATTTTACCAACCTGGAGTTGATGAGCGGTATAGTTGTAGTATTTGATCCTGTCGTTAGCCGCAGCACCAGTGGAGATGTTCAGCACTCCGACCTTCAGCTGATCCAGGGTCTTATTAGACAACCTTAAATCTCCAATCAGCTGCCAGATGCAGTCATCACAACCTGAAAGCAGAGGGAGCATTTAAACAGATGTCTATTCATGTCTATTCTTGTGTAGTTTGTTGTGTTGCTCTCAGCTCCACTCACTGTTGTTGCAGAGATTGACTGCAGCCTCTGCCAGGCATTCTCCTGTATGCATGTTACAGTGGCCGCTCTCACAGTCACACTCTGCAGAAGGAGAAAAATTCACCTACTTAGGATCTGCTGAACTGATTGTTTTAACAGCTGCACTATGTCTACACATTTGAGCTGCTAAGGGATTTCATCTCCAGGCGAAGGGTCACGGCTCTCAGCTCAAGCTCGTCTGACACCATCAGCACTGCTGCAGTCGTAGGTGTGGGAATGGACGTTTCAGGCCTTTTTCTCTGGAAATGTGTTTTTCTAATTTGAAGAGAGAGGGAAACATTTGCCATGGAGAACATATACATCTGACTTACTCTGGCAGCCGGAGGGACTGTAATCCCAGTACCCTGGGAGGCAGCGCTCACAGTAACGACCTCCAGCCCCCGGGCGGCAAGAACAGCTGTGAGTAAGTGGATGGCAGGTTGAACGAAGGGACGCTGGCCCACATTCACACCTCCTGCAGCCCTGACAGCTGGAGAATCCAAAGTAACCCTCCTGGGTTAAAAAACAACAAACAAACAATGTTAAACAAGTTCATGGGGGTTTAACTTCACACCTTTTCTTCTTTCAAATACTGGTTTTGCAACAAGGGAATGTCACAGCTCACTGTGTTAAAAGCAACCACATATATTTCTGGCATTCATAACACAACTTCAACTACTTCCACCTAGAGTGTTAGCTTTCTGCAAAGAGTTGTTATACACATTTATTCCCAACTAAGTTTTTTTATTATGATCTCTCAGATAGAGAAAAAAAGTCCAGAAGTTTTTGAGATATTGCATCCAGCAGTAGAATATGTCGTAACACTCTAAAACGGAGGTCTTCAACAGGGGATCCGCGACCCCAAGAGGGTCCACATAGGTACTGCATGGGGGTCGTGAAAGTTTTGGTTGTTTAGGCTTTTTTTATATTCCCCCCTGCAATTTTACACTACCCTCTGAAAACCTATCCGGTTAACTGGTCCGAGCTTGGATCAGTTAACCGCACCAAGCTCGGTTCCTTACGACCGTTTACACACCACACTAGCACAGTTTCTCACCTCCTAGTGGCAATCTACGGTACTACTGCTCTCTAGAGTTAAACAAGCAAATCAACAAAGCGCTACTGTAACATTATGCAAGTTTGCAGAGAGTCAGGCGAAGAAGGCAGCCTTTGGTGAATTTAATTTGCTGAGTCGGCTTTTTGGAAGTTGATACGACAAACGATGTAGCCTAATCAGGGTTTACAGACGCAGGAAACAACGACAGGAGTTGAGGTTGTTATCTGAAAACTGAGCCAGAACTGAACCACACTGAGCCCTACTGTTGAACTAGTACTAATTTAGTGCGGTTCAGTTGTGTCTGGCACGGTCTGCTTCAGTTTTGCGGGCCATTTAAGGCTGATTTATACTCAGAAACCAGGTCGTCTGTGTGTGTGTCACAGTGAAGGCAGATATGCCCCTGCCCCTGCCGCAGACACTCTGGTGCACCTCTCCAAAATTGTAGTTGACTGCAGACAGTGCCACAGACAGGAGGCCTCTGATTGGTCAAATCTACATCAGCTGTACACTATCCATATTTCCTGTTTCGTACCTTAATGGCTTGTTTTGTTTGTATGACCGCCATTGTGGAAAACGACTGGTGAAGATGGACCAGCTAGAAGAGCGAGATGCATGATAACGCTGGGACCCTTTTTCTCCTCTTGTCCCTCCATTGTTGCACAAACTTGCCCCCACTACCTCAGCGCCTCGGCTGTATCTAGACCCACAGCTAGTTCCTGATTGCCCCTCTTGCGTTGTGGCGTGGAATAACATAGCGCAGACCACGCTTCAATATTGGGCATAAATCAAAAATATCTGCAAGCTCACTGCCACAGGGAGGATAACCAGGCCTTTATACTCAACGGGTATCTCGGTTACCGTGCTCGGACCGATCAGCACGGTTTAAAAATGGTAGTGGAAATGGGGCTATACTGAAGGCAGGAAAGACTATGTTAGGATATCTAGATAATGTTAAGGAGAAAAATGCACTCCTACTCAGTGCTTCTACCATCAATATATCGATGGTTTGTTCCTCTGTACTGAGGAGGTACCATTAATTGGTACAGTACGCAGGTCCTTCTCACCTCACATTGGTCACAGAAGCGTCCTTTGACTCCTGGCTTGCAGTGACACACCCCTGTCCTGTCGTCACATGAGGAGGTGCCGCATTTGTTGCACTTGCACTCTGGGGAAGACAAAGACACATACAGAGATGAGACGAAGAAGCCGGAGACGGTTGGTTCTAGAGTTAGCCTTGACATTTTTCTTTCCAAAGATCAGTTTTTGGGAAAACTCTTTGTGGTACATATGACTGAGGACACAGCTCAGATTGGCTTCAAAAAACACATTATTGTAAAGTAATCACTACTTGACAGTCATGTCACACCCCTACATGGGGGTCTTCTGCCAGTAAAGAATGATGGATTGCTGTCTCAGCAGAAGAAGAAGAAGCTGGCATTAACACACAAACACACTTCCAATCACCTCTTAAATAAGGATTTTAAGTCGTAGGGAAACGGCCGTTCCAACCATGGCAATTCCGAATTCTCCCGAGTGGTGCAAGACTTTACATGAGTGAATAAAGTGAATTTGATTGGTTGTCTATCAAGGGGGCGGGATTGTTGTGACGGAAGGTTTGCAAGCAAGTTTGATTGTGGCTGGTTTCTCTAAAGCATCTTGCTAACCAGATAGCAACTTAGTGCTAGTAGGTTTCCAAAGGGAAATTCCATTGGGACCAAGTAGCACTAAATTGGTGACTTAGAAACGACACTGTCAAGGAACGCTATGGACAGAGGAAACATGCAAGAGGAGGAGAGTTTAGTGTCGGAGATCGTGCATGAATGAATGGCTGAATTTAGTTGTACAAGGTGATGTATAACTAACTGGCCTGCATGAGATAATGAAAAAAACACCCCAGATTTTAAGATAGTATTTATTTTTATATAGAAATTTTCCAAATTTTGGGACTATATGGTCTGATAAAGAGTACATTTATATACATGTTTAAGCCAGAATGATTTGACATTTAAATATGACTTCCTTATGACTTTAAGCTACAGGTTAAGCCCTACCTTTGCAGTTCTTGGCGCTGATGGCGTCGCCGTAGAAACCAGGGGCGCACCTCTCACAGTTGTCACCAGCTGTGTTTCCCCAGCAGTGCTGGCAGCGTCCTGTCATGTTGTGGCACTCGTTAAAGATTAGGTTAGGGTCAGTGTTGCCGTTACAGTCACACCTCTTACAGGATGAACCGATAAGCATTGGGTTTCCATAGTAACCTGGAGCACACCTTTATGAGAAAGCAAAGATAGCACAGGTTACACAGAAAAAATGTGATAAAAGTATATCAGCATTTCTTGAAATAGGGAGAATTTCTCTTGATTTGAGCAGGTAATGAAACTACACTGGAAAAATTATCTAGAAATAACTACAAATTTCATAAATTAAGGGTATTTACCCTTAATTTGAGTAGGTAAATTAGATAGTTTGCCAATTGAATGAGTATTTTTAATCTTAATATAAGATAATAAGATAAAATGCACTTGAAATGACACAATGCTATTGTCTTTTGTTATTTTAAGTGTAAATTGTCTTGTTCTATTGGCAAAACGTGTCTTTTACCTCCTCAATCCAAGAACAAACACACTTATTTTAAGAAAAAATGACTTATCTACATTTAGATTTTTTCCACTGTAAAATGACTGAATTTTAAAGTATGAAATATTATCTTATTTCAAGTGCATTATATCTAATCACCGTGTTTTATTGGTTAAAAAAAATATCAATTTCCCTGGACTATCTTCTTTATAGCCTGCTCAGCGACATTTAAGAAGTATTTTTTCTACCATTTTTAGATCAGTTATTAGTTATATTTTAAATCAGTAAAGCTGTGAGAGATGTGGATATTCTGTAGAACCAAAGAAGAGAAAAAATATCCTTAATATTGTGAATGAAAGACAACTAAGATAGCATGGTTGAGCTCTGTATACATTTTGTTGGAGGTAATCCGCTAATCAGCACTGACCTCTCACAGTGATTTCCAGCGTAGCCCTGTTTGCACTTGCACTGCAGACTGCCGACTCCTTTTTTGCAGTACACAGCAAAGCTGGCCAGACACACACATCAAAAAGAACATCACACAATGAGCCAAAACCCAACCCTGAGTCTCCATCAGAGAGAACAAACCAGCTCACTTGTTAGATTCGGTAGGGAGGGGGCAGGAACAGGGTATACAGGCATGTTGCCCATCCTGACTGGAGCTCAGGATGTAGCCATCTTCACACATTTCACAAAAATCTCCTGTGCTGTGGTTCCTGCAGTTCTGGTGGGGGTGAGGGGTACACCATTAGCATGACACTGGTAATTACCCTGAACCATTAAAACGGATCTATGATACTTACAATGCAAACACCAGTGATGTCATTGCAGTAGTCAGCGTGGCCCTTACAGTTACATGGAAGGCATACGCTTTGTTCACTGAGGAAATAACCCTTGGCACACACCTGCAACACAAAAAGAAACATCAGATTTAAGCTGTGTTGAGTTTTTAACTCAGTGACGGTAGCAATGGTTCATCGTAAAGCAGTACAGCATGTTTGGGAAACCCTGAGAATGCTGAGAGGCTTCCATCATCACTTATACTTCTACAGTACATAACAGAAGAGAGCCTTTTGGGCCTTCAGGGAGTTTGCTCTGTAATTCTAAGGTAATTCTAAGGTACACTGCAAAAACAATCAAGAAATAAGTCAACATTTCTTAAATTATGTGTATTTACCCATAGAGTATGTAAATAAGATGATTTTCCAATGGAATGAGATTGTTTACTCTTAAAATAAGAGTAAACAATATGATTTTTTTCCCAGTGTATATCTGCACTGCTTTCCATGGACCACAGCTAAGTAAAATACACATGTTCTTACATCCTTGGTCCATTAATAAAACCTTACATCAGTACCTACAGGAGTATTGCTGTTCCACTGTAAGAAAGTTCCTTTCTGTGGGTTTTCTTTTTTCTTCAATGCATAGAAATGGATTCTAGGGTCTGTTTAATTATTGGATCTAAATGAGCCTTTTTCTTTTATCTTTATTACAAAAATGCAAACACTGATATTTTCATATGGATTGAACTGATACATATTAGTTTATTACTAAGTAGTTAAAGAGGAAAGGTTAGCAAAATAAAATGCATTTATCTTGGGGTTAATGTTGCCAGAGAACAATCTTAGTTTTGTTTAGGTTAACGTGTTGGAATAGTTTATAAAATATTTTTTATTCTTTCTTTCTGTTGTCTAATATTTGAATCTCTTTTTTAAAATAAAAGACAAACTAGATGAGTTCATGAAAGACAATACGCGTGTTTTTGGGCTCTGATGCTGAGAAGGACCCAACAGAGGGTGTTTGTACTCATTCCAATGGCAAACTATCTCATTTACCTACCGGTACTCAAATTAAGGGTAAATACACTTAATTTAAGACAATTTTTACTTATTTCTAGAGTCTTTTTCCAGTGTGGAGGAAAGTGCCAGTCAACATTACAGTTACTACAACAGTTAAAAATCAACTTCATCATTCAGGGTGCCTATCTTTATGAAGTACAATTGTCTTTCTATGTAACAAAATACCATATATGCTTTTTCTGAAGTTGATTTTCAGACTTTCCATCATAGTCAAACATTTCTTTGAAAAAAGGGCATGGACGTGGTTTTAAATAAGTACTATTACTTGTGGGGCAGAACTGAAAACAGGTTTTAAAGCATAGTTTCTGCTGATTCAATTCAATTCAGTTCATTTCTATAGCACCAATTGACAACAGATGTCATTTCAAGGCACTTTACAGTTCACCAGGTCATCCAGTCAGATTGATTCCAACTTTTCTATCTAAGGAAAACCAGTTTATTGCATCGATTCATTGATTCAAAGGCAATCACTCTCACTAAGCACGATTGGACAGTGGAGAGAAAAAACTCCCTTTTAACAGGAAGAAACCTCCAGCAGAACCAGGCTAAGTGTGAGCGGCCATCTGCTGAGGATGACTGGGGTTCAAGGAGACAGAAGCAGACATAGAAAAAGAAGCATAGATACAAAAGGCAACTGTCAACCAGCTGCACAGGCTGCCCAGTCCAGGAAACAAACAGCCAGGCAGATGAGCTCCATCCAGCTCCCATGTCAGAGGATGAAGAGAGCACATCCAAAGTCACAGTCAGAGAAACAGGACTACACTGAAAAACAGCCCGATCTCCAACATCTAGAAACAAAGGTGTTGATGGCAGCTGATCAATACATTTTTCAGATCGCTGCCTTGGTTCTCTGTGCAGTTGCTGAGAAGATGCCACTGCTGCTGTCCCTCTTTCCATGGTAGATATAGATTTATTCACCTGTGTCCCACCATAAACAATTATTGTAATAATGCCCCTTTTTTGTGGTTGCACCATTTTAATTTTCTCTATGGTAAGTTTTTAGTAAATGTTGATTTTGTTTGTTTGTCCAAAATGTTGTGGAATTTTAGGAAAAGGCCATTTAATTTCTCCTGGGTTCCCCGTGGCTCTGCAGTATTCATTTACAGATTTTTCCCCAGCTTCTCCTGCTCTTAAGAAATCAGTTTGACCTTTTTTCACCCTGTTTGCAGTATTTTCCTTTCGGCTCTCAGACTATTTCCCAGCAGATTGTTGTTGTAACCATTGTGTTGGGTAACTCTCCAGAGCAGATTGACTCACGGGTCACAGCTTGACTGCCTCTCGGCTTTCCAGATAAAATCCACCATTACTGGTTCTGGTTCTGATTCTCCATCATGACTTCCCACATTCCTAGTCATTACAAGAGCACCACTACTCTGGAACTTTTCACATTTATAACAATGACATTACAAACTGCGCAGATTTATCAACCAACAACATACACCTTTTTTTTCTCTCACACTGTTTACATTTGATCACAGCTGCACTTTATGGAATTTAAATGTTCTGCTGCTCATTAACTGTCTAAAATTTAATTTTGTGAAAACAGAAACTAGTCCATTACCAGTTAGTGGAAGAAAAGAAATGATTGACTTTGATAATGTCAGATGGGGTCATATTCAGTCCCTCTGACTCAATACATTGTGGTATTGTATTATAGAATCACTTCTGTCAGTGAGTCCCAGGGCAGCCGTGGCTACAGTATAGTTTGCCACCATCAGTGAATGGGTGAATGACTGAATGAAATGTAAAGAGCTTTGGTCAAGTCCTCTGACTTAAAAACGTTCTATATAACTACAGGCCATTCACCATTAACTATATAGTTATTAGTGCAAACGTTAGCACCAGCTTCAGTCACAAACAGTTTTTAATTATGATAGGAGGTGGGAGTAATCCAACATATGATGTTGTATTGTCACACATTTTGTGTGGAATATCAGTGACAGTAACTTCTTTCTGAAGGTGAATTATTTTTTGCTCCTTAGAAAACACTGCTATTTGTTTTTTTCTGTTAGCCGTTGCTACAATGAACCCGACCAAGGCACAATCAGGAGAGTTAATTCAACTCATAGAATATTAAACCTTACACTAGAGCTTATTTAGCTCTAAACAGATTCACAGTTAAAGTTACATTTTTATAAAGTGTTGTTATTTTTACCATTGAATGTCATAGATTTAGTCAGATTTTATTTTTGTGTAGGTGGGTAGGTGGGGATGGGGTGTCTGGCAGGCCGCTTGCACCTCCTTACTATGCTTATTAAAATGAACAGATGCACCTGCATCGTTCCCAATTACCCTGGTTCTCCCTATTTATAGATTCCTCTCTCAGTCATTCCCTGCCAGAATGTCTCCTTCTTTCCCGTATGAGACTCCCCCCCAGTGTCAGTGTGCACCGTCTGCCTTCCTGGGCTCCTGTGTTCTTCTGCTTGGCCTGTCCCCATTTGATATCATCAGACTCTGACTCCGATCATGTCTAGCCTCTTTTTGCCTGCCATCAGTTCATTCTACCTTCATTCTGTCTAGTCAAAGTCTGCCTCCACTCTGTTCAGTCATTGTCTGCCATGATCTGCAATCAGCCAGTTCGTTTGCAAGCAGGGTCGATCTTCCTCTGCCTCCCTTAGCTTGCCACCTGTCTGCTCTGCCTGCCACCAACATCAGCTGCAGCTGCAGCATCCCCGAGTGGCTAGTGGATACAGATAGCACAGGTAGATTTAAAAAGAAATGTATTCTTTCTGCATGGAGTTTGTATGTTCTCCCTGAGCATGCGTTGGTTCTCTCCGGGTACTCCGGCTTACTCCCACAGTCCAAAATCATGACTGTTAGGTTAATTAGCTTCTCGAATTGGCTTCTCTAAATTCTCCTTAGGTGTGTGTGTGAATGGTTGTTTGTCCTGTTTGTCTCTGTGTTGCCCTGCAATGGACTGGTGACCTGTCCAGGGTGGACCCCGCTTCTTGCCTCTAGAAAGCTGAAGATAGGCACCAGCACCCCTCGCGACCCCAGCTTGGGATAAGCATGACGGAAAATTAATGGATGGATATTTTAGGAAATTATTTTCTCCTTTTTTGTTTTACTATTACGTGTATTTGGATTTTAATGTCATTGTTTTGAAGCCTAATCAACACAAGTCCATGGACGTTACGTTGTCATGGCAACATCAAGCAAGCTAGAGCGTGGTTTCCCGCTCGCGGCAGCGGACTAGTAAATTTACATAGTCTAATGACTGAAACAAGGACGAAATATGACACAGAAACACATTTCGGTTTCATCTACTTATGAGAGACTTTCTCCTCAGAGCGCATCTCAACATTTAGACACCTTTAACCAGGCGGGGCCCCCTGCCTGTAGCTAACATCTGTTCGTGCAGTTTAACGTAACCAAAGTATTTTAGAGTGTTATTGTGATCTTTGGTTCTTTTTGTAATGGAGAACTGTTCAATAAGGTTTAAATAGTTTAAATAATCAAATTATTTCCTTGTGGTTTGGTTTAAAGGATTTTGGAGCTAATAGTGTCACGTGTGACATAAACACAGTGACTCAGGTTCCTGTCAGGTCACCAAATCTGCATTGTTACAATTGTGAACTGATGATTTCGGTGTGTTACAGACTCTGGTTACGTGTTTTATATGACAATAAAGTAGTAAATCTCAATCTATTTACTTATTAATTTTTATTGTATTTTAAAAAGGCCTATAGGCTCATAAGTCCATTGTCCAAAAAAAGCAAAAGCTTTTTCACAAACGACTCCCAGCAGTGCTGCTCTTCTGCATTTCCTCTAAAATGTATATTTAAATTTGTTCGGATAGTATTTATGAAAATGTAAACCATATACCTTTTTGTGAAACATGATAAAACCTTCTCTGAAAGTCTTACTAACCACCTAAGTGTATTAGTAAGCTGTCCTCTTGTAGCAGTGCGACTTGTTTTGAGGAAGCCAGGCTTTCCATCACGTGTCTGCTCCCAGGATGATCTGCTGCAGACTTCCACACCGTCTCTCTTTGTGTCTCTCACACACCACTTCCATCCTTTAAACTTCTGAGGCTGCAGCACTCA